ACATAATGTTAAACGGAAAGACACACCACTTCACCCAAATACAGTTTACAAACCGCCCTCTATGCTTAACCCAACTAAAGACAAGAGAAATAACATTATCAAACACACCCGCCTTAGAGATACACACATTGCTGAAAAGTCTATCGTTTCACGCTCTCCAAATACACCACATGTATCCATAGAAAATGGCCAAAAGAACATTACGTTTCTTCGGACAATTACCCTATTTGGAAGCAAAAACGATAAGCTCCCGGATGGAATCGAAATTTCGCTGAGGAATATTGCACCAACCCAAAATCTGTTGTAGAACATTTCGAGCCCAAGAGCAACCCACAAACAAGTGATCCGTATCTTCAGCCTCCCAAGCACACCATAAGCATTCGCTACTATGAGTAAAAACACCTCTCTTAGCGAGAGCACAAGCAGTAGGGATTCTACTGAAATAAAACACAAGTTTGGGTTTCAAAATTATTAATCTTTAATAATCAAATTTAAAAGAGAAATTAAATATTCTTTTATATTTTATTCTCATTCATTCTCCTACCATATACAATCTTGATATGTGTCACATTTAATGAAATTAATAATAATTAATCCATTTCCACCATTTAATATGGATCGAAGGATAGTAGGAAGAAAATGTGAGAGGATATTTAATTTCTCTTTCTCAATTTAAAAATATTAATACGATGTCATGCTCCGATTATTTGGTTGACCCGACTAACAAGAATATTAACCGAACCCAAACGAAACAAGATTATCATTATTTGGTTAATCAAACCAAATAACCCAAACCTTATTCAACTCAAATGACTTAGGGGCTATTTGATATCCCTTTTGCTGGGTTAGGTAAGAGGTCGAGTCCGACTTGATCGTATTCAAACTGTCTGATACCACAATTAAAAACCTAAGATTTGGTCTTATAGCCTCTAATATGTCTTTTACTATGTCAAATAAGAGGTTGAGTCTAACTCAATTAGACATTGACTTAATTATATACAATTCAATCAATAACTATCAAACAACTCTTTTATTTGATTTCGGTTTCAATGACACCCTTACTTGAACGGTTACACATTTTTCTATCATGCCATATGCAATTGCTAAATTTTTTATTATTATTATTATTATTATTATTATTATTTTTATAATACTCAACACCTCAAAAACAAAGCTTATATTGAATTGTATCTGTACATGCCATTTTGCAAAAAGCTAGCAAAAGTTCCACAATAATTTGTTTGACTTATAAACTAACTTTATTCGGAACAAAAATACTCTAAATGCACAAGGGCCTAAATCATAAAAATCCAAACTTATAGGGGTTTATATGTAACTAATCAAATGTACAAGGGCTTAAGGGAAACTATCACCCCACCACCGAGTCGTCTGCATTTCTCTCTGTATTTTTCCTTCACATTCATTTCAACACCCCCACTCATTTCCCTCACCACTTTCTCTCTCTAGAAATTCTCTTTTGGGGTTCAAACATTTTCGAAGATTTTGCATTGTGTGAAAATTGTTGCAAGATAGTGTGATATACAAACATAAATTCGTTATGATTGTGATGAGATTTGGTTGAGCTGATTTTGAAATTAAGAAGAAATGCCATTCAGCAGATATCAGATACGAAATGAGTTCAGTTTGGCTGATCCAGAGCTGTACAAAGCAGCGGATAAAGATGACCCTGAGGCTTTACTTGAAGGTGTTGCCATGGCCGGTCTCGTTGGCGTTCTCCGTCAGCTCGGTGACCTAGCCGAGTCAGTACTTCTGGTTTTGTCTCGTATTTATTTCATAGTTAAATCCATTTAGTTTCTATTTGGGAGAATTAAATTGGATTTCTGCAATCAAAATTGAAGCTTTTTTCGTTTTAAATTTGAACCACCAGCTTCAAGCGACTGATAAATTACCCAATTTTGTGGCTTGAATCGGTGCAAATGGATTTGGAATCGAATGAGTATCTGAACTGATTCAGCTCCTGTAACAGTTTAAATCTCGAATTGCATTCTCCAGGATAGATTTCGACTTTTAGAATAATTGACTTCATACTTCCGCAATCGAGTTTTAGGGAATTTGCAGTCTTAAGTTAACTTCGAATCCTGAACCTAGGATTTCATGCTAACACACTGTAATTTACAGCTTTGTTTTTTTGGGCCCATAAATTACCGATTTCTGTTTTGTATAATCTAATGGATGATATGAAGGATCTGTTCTGGGGAATAATAATGTGTTCGATGAATGAAAAAGAGAGTGTAAATGTTTAAGGGTTCAAGATTTCTAAAATTCGAAATCACAAGCGACATTATGTGCTGAATTCATCACATTTGATCAGTTTGAACAAACCTTTGTCTTCTATAGTTATTACACACATCTTAGTCTTTCAATTAGGGTTTTTGGGAAGGAACAATGAAGGAAGAGAAGTAGAAATTTTGTAAAAGATATGATAGAGAATATATACTTATCATTTATAATCTTGTATCTGTTTTATAATTTTCACCATTAGTACTAATGTACTATCTTGCATATGATATTGTTGTAACAAAAGTCTTGCATCCAATTCTGAAGGTTTGCAGCAGAGATTTTCCATGGTTTGCATGAAGAAGTAATGGTAACTGCCACCAGAGGCCATGGATTACTGGTACGTGTTCAACAGCTTGAATCAGATTTCCCTGCAATTGAAAGGGCATTTTTGTCACAAACAGGCCATTCAGCATTCTTCTCCAGTTCAGGTTACAATTCTTCTCCTACAATTGTTGGTTTTACCTTTTCAATTATCTTCTATTTTAGCTTATAAGTTCTAATGATGCATTTGATGTTAACAGGTATTGGTTGGCATCCTAATTTGCAAACAGAGCAAAATCTTATTACAAGGGGAGATTTACCTCGATTTGTCATGGATTCTTATGAAGAATCTCGTGGGCCCCCTCGGTTGTTTCTTCTAGACAAGTAAGAAACTTTATATTCCCTTAAATACCCTCCCCCACCTCATAACTAGAATTCAAAATTCATGCTTGTTTGTACCTTTCAAAGTACTACAAACCCAACTTGGCAACTTCACTTTTTTGTTCTCATTCAACATGCATTATATCAATATTGTGGGCCATTTTTTTCTCTATTCTAGTATAAAACCATTAATGAAGTTAGAAGGTAAATTCTTTGACATCTAAAAAGTCAAACATTGCTGACTTATGTATTTTTTTCAACAGGTTTGATATTGCTGGAGCTGGGGCATGCTTAAAACGTTACACTGATCCATCATTTTATAAAGTGGAGGCATCTTCATTTGAAATGAGGAACACAGAAGCTCAAAGGGGCAAAAATGTCCGTAAAACAAAGGTGAGTTAATTACTTAATTTAAACTGTTTGACTATTTTGAAATTTAGCATTTGACCATCATTCTTGCTTACAAATTTAATCATATTTTTAACAGAAAAAAGGATCAAAATGGAAAAATGGAGAGACTCCTGATGTTTTTCAGCCATCACATGTCAAGTATGCCCCTAATTCGATATCTATTTCACACTGAATGATTTTTATTAAATTTCCAATTTTTCATTTTCATTTGTAATACTTGTAGACTTCATCAATTACTCCTTGAAGAGCGCATGCAAAATGTAACAAGTGAGCCCACATGTCATGTGAAATTAAAGAAAAGAGAAATTAAAATTTCCATTCGATACTGAAACTGGAAAAGGCTACATGGAGACTTTATTAACTTCTCCACCTGAGGATAAACTTGTCCATGAAGTACCTGTTCAACCCGTGCTTGAAACACATGACGAGGGTAATATGGTCAATTCACCTAGTCAAAATGGAAGCCCATTTGAATCTCCAAGTGTGGATAAATCAGTCTCTATGGAGCACATGAATAACATGCCCGGAATCATGATTCCGGAGCTTCCGGAAAATGAAACCGAGGGCAATTCCGGAATTGAGGAGGAGGAGGTGGAAGAGAAGCACATATCTGTTGAAGGGAATCACAAAGTCAATGATGGTTATCAATCCGATGATGTTGTAAGTGAGGGAGAAAATTACGTGGATGCCCTTGCTACAATGGAGTCAGAAATCGAAACGGAAACTGAACTTAGAACTAATTCTGATGCGAATTTAGAACAGATTCAATCACAATTTTCAGATTCTCAATTAGGTGATGAGATTGAGAATTGGCTTAATTAGGAAGAAAATGGAAACTTTTTCAGATTCTGAAACTTCCACCACTTCAACAGACAATACCCCACGTAGTGTCACCTTTGCATCTACTGAAATACCATTTCGCCCTCGAATTTTGCCTAGCCAAGTCTCGGATGAAGGGGTAGTTTTGGAAGAAAGTGGTTCCAAAGAATCGGGATTGAATGAAATGTCATCAAGCAATCAAATTGATCCAGAAGCCATTGCAGCCTCTACAATTGATGATCCATCTTCATCTAATCGTCAAAGTGAGGATGGTAATTCCAATTCTACCCTTGAAATTTCACAGGTGGAAGAACAGCAGCCTTCTGGTCCCACTCCCTCCTTGGAAGAAGTGAAAATTGTGATGCAGATGTGGAAGTGAAAGTGAAACCTAGTGAAGAGATATCATGTGTTCCTGATAGTTGTTCTTTACTTAAAGAAGAGTTAACAGATGATGTTCTTGAGAGTAAATCTGATAGGGATTCAGATGAAATAGAATCAAAGGATGATAGCAATAGTGACAATAATAATAATAATAGTAATAATAATAATCTTCCTATTCTTGAGGATGAAAAAGAACCAGTTAATGATTCAGTTACTAATCCTGATGACATTGATGATAATGAAAGTAAGAGTCTTTCTACTTGTGAAGATACAGAATTAGATGAGAGAAAAGTCGAATCTTTCAACTCTGAAATTGAAGCTTTGACTTTTGTTGATGAGAAGGATGAAGATGCTGATGCTGATGATGATGGTGTTTCTGGTGAGAATGGTCCAGTCATTGATGATTCCGATGAATCTGTTGGAAAGCAGGAATCAGTTATTACTCCGGAGTTGGATTCCATTCCTTCTGAATCTGGTGAAAAGAAGGAACCAGATGTTTCTACAGAGTTAGACTTGGTTCCTTCTGCAGCTTATGATCATTCCAACATACAATCTCTTGATTCAATTCCTACGAATGAAACCAATATTGATAACCCATCTGCAAATTTAAATGAACACGTAATTGTTCTTGAAAAAACAGTTGAAAATGGAGATGTTCAACTTCAACCAGATCTGGACTTTGAATCCAATCAAGATGTTGTAGAATCTAAATCTACAAACAACGAAAGCTCCTTTTTGGAAAATGGACAAGAGTTTCAAGAACCTGTTTATGAAGAACCATCTTTTAATTATCCATTAGCTCCAGCGTTTACTGAACTCAACATGCTTCCACAATTATCACCTCCAATCAACCTGGAGGAGATGCCACCATTGCCGCCTCTTCCACCTATGCAATGGCGGATTGGAAAGCTTCCCAACAATGATGATCAACAACAAAACCACTTCCCACCACCTTTTCCTCAAATTCCGAGTCCCCCATCACTACTAGATCATAATGAAAATGCAGAAAACCATAATAATCATCAAGACACTGGGAGTTCTCATCAAGTGTTATCAACTGAGTCAAGTTCACACACAGATGAAGGTGGGAATACAGCAAAAGTTGCAGAAGAACAGATTATCATACTCCCACAACCACCACCAACTGATGTGGAAGAACAACAATCTCAAAATGTTTCAACTTCTGGACAAGAATCTTTTAGGCAATCAAATGTTTCTTCAATTCATGAAGGTGATGATGATGATGAAAGGCCAAATGGAATTGGAATTCGGCCTATGAAAGTTCAGAGACCTCGTACGCCTCTCATTGATGCAGTTGCTGCTCATGACAAAAGCAAGGTACAAATATGAGATATGATTTGAAGCTAATAATGATATAACAGAAATGATATTTAAAAAAAAAAAAACACAAATGTAAAATATGTTTGCTTTTGTATTTTTTGTAGTTGAGGAAAGTTTCGGAAAGAGCAAGACCTGAAATCCAAGAAGAAGAGGAAAGAGACACTTTGTTGCCATTGAGGAAGGTTTCAGAAAGAGCAAGGCCTCAAATCCCAAAAGAAGAAGAAAGAGACACTTTATTGGAACAAATACGCGCTAAGGTATCAGAACAGTTTGTACTGTGTTTGACATGAATTGGACTAAGACTCAGACTGATATCAATAAGACAAAAATTGTAACTTTTTTCTCAACCAAAAAGGTGGGACTAGGACTAGACTAGACTGGACAGGACAGATGTCAATGAGACAGCTGAGACTGATGTCGACCAGACAAAAATTGCAGCTTTTATGACGAGGGCCTTTTTACTTCACATTAAATAATAATTTTTTTTTTTGGTTATATATTAGTCTTTCAACTTGAAGCCAGCTGTCCAAACTAGACCCATCATTCAAGGTCCTTCAACCAATTTAAGGGTGGCTGCCATTTTAGAGAAAGCAAATGCAATTCGCCATGCGTTTGCTGGAAGTGATGAAGATGAAGATGAAGATGATAGTTGGAGTGAATAGTGATTTCATGAACATCAAATTGATGCAAAATACCAAGATTCTCCTTACATTTCTTCTTCACACTCCTCCATTGTAGTTATTTACTTTTTTTTTTTTGGGTTATGATGGTCTTGAATTCTATCTATAGGAAGTTATGATAAGCTGTATTATAATATATATGCTTGCTGTATCACCATATCGTGTATAGATTTTTTATTCCTTTTTGTGACTCTGATTTTACCTGTTTGTCCTTTTCATGGATGTTACTTTGGCCATATACGAGAAGTGCAATTGTGTAATTTATCTTCTAGTTCTTTCGATTATGTTGGTGGTAGCAGTAATTTGTTTTTTAGTTCTTTTAGTCCAGATGCTGCACACGCTGTAAATGATGATCATGTTATTCTTAAAGCTGGTGATAATCTCTCAACTTATCAATTATCATTCCTATCAATAAAAGTAATGGAGAGATAATCTCTCAACTTATCAATTATCATTCCTATCAATAAAAGTAATGGAGAGATCAATTAGATAAATACAAGAATATATCTGTATATATACAAAGCCAAGTTATTATATAATAAAAGTAATGGAGAGATAAATACAAGAATATATACAAACCTAAGTTATTATCTAATAAAAGTAAAGGGGGGGGGGGGGGGGGGGGGGTTAAACTAAATTAATCTTGCTTTTAAAGCAATAGATAAATGGAGTAAAGAACTAAATTAAAACAAGAATTAATCCGTTATTACAAAAAGTACTTCCACTAGAATTCCAATCCCCCAAGTTTTTATCTTTGATTTATTAGAAGTGCAATGAATTAATGAGTTGATTACCGAATTGTAATATGACTAGTTATACTGGTCGGGTTTTCTAGTACTAATAATTAATTAACAACTAACACAAAGATCATACAATTAGTGAACACCTAATTAATTAAATATATTTGAACTATCAACGATATGATCTAGCGATTCTTATTAGCTATCATGACAATAAATCAACACATATTATGGATATTTACGACTCTCTAACACAGTCAATTTAACAGTTAATATTACCTAACCCTAGGATTTGATCAATCTCTAGTCCTAACAGTTTAATGGTCATAAACTAATTAAGATTCACATTAATTAATTAGATTGGTCCTCTTAACTACACATAACTCAATAATAGGTAATACAAATCATAACTTTAACATGAAAGATAAACAATCAATCGAAGACAAGTATTAACCAAACTTACATAATCCTACTAACGAAATCAAAAAATTTTAACGAGGGTTGATCTACATCTAGCGAAAGTAAAGGTGTTTACACCATAATCAGTAAACTAAAGCAGAAAAACAACACCAAAATATTATGAGACACAATCATCAAGAAAACCTGTGTGAGAACAAGATCGATGCACAGGGACAAGGTTTGAAAACTCAAACCTTGAGTGAATGCTTAAGATCAATGTCTGCTTGCTAAAAGATGTTCAAGTCAAGGCTGGAAAGACCAGTCAAGTCTTAGATAATATGTTCAACAAATGATCAAGCCATTAAATGAAGAATAAGAGTAAATGATCAAGGTAAAGCTAATAAATGAGGAACAAGAAGAATGTTTGAATATGCTTAGAGTAAATGCTAAAAAGTGAGTGAAAGATCCGTAGTTGACTTGTATTGAATGCTCCTATAAATAGGAGTGAATGTTACAGCGAATTAACCTAAGTGTTTACATAGAACCGGACAAAAGACATAAGTCTGACATTCTGATTGTCCAAATACAACTTTAGACTAAGTCCTATGAAACGTTACATCAATAACAAGACAAAACTAATAAATGTACAAGAGACAAAATCACTTCATTCCGGACCAGCATCATTCCGGACACGAAGGTTAGTTCCGGATCAGTATTCATTCCGGACGTGAGGGACCGCTCCGGAATGCCTTCATTCTTCTCGTCTCCTTCCTAGGTCCAGACAGGTTCCGGACCACTCTTCATTTCGGAATCCACACACTTCGGAATAAGGAGTTAGGATTGCTAGAGGTTCACTTTCAGGTTCCAACAATCTCCCCCTAAGTGAACTTAGCAATCCAGCAAGATTAGTTCATTTCTTCCTTGTTGAATGTGTAGGCTCTGAACAACCATTCTCGCACCGCAATGTACCACGCCAGCTGACTTACGAACTTTGCCTTGACCTGTTTCGGAGCATCAGACTTGGACGCCCGGGATATGAACTTCTGCAGAGCTTTGGTCGGAACTAGGTGTTTGTTAAGGACTCGGAAGAAGTCCTTCTTGTTTGTTTTCCTGGTTGTGTAGACAAACCCTAGAACCGGTTCTTCAATGGGATCATCTGCAAGAATTTCAGCTTCCGGAAGAACGAAGTCGATCTTGGCAACAAATTGTTCTGTTCCGTAGAGGTGTGCAAGCTCGTAGTCACATCGACATAACTCAGCAACATAATCTTTTAGAAAGCTCAGAGTTGCGTGGTAAGCATCCATACTGATGTCATCCTTTTTGATTTTCACGGAAGTAAGCAGCTAGGGTGAGGATGTCGTTCAGATTCAAAGAAGGAAAATCCGCATCAGTAACGGTCCTAGGAGTTGGCTTGTTCCGGAGGAGGTGAAAACGGAATAGAGGACAGTTCAGCTCAAATTTTACCAAAATTTTTCTTCCAAAGCCTTGAACTTTGGTAATCCTTTTCCTTGACCATACTTCCTTGAAGGGTCATGTTCCAGGTTGGTGACCATGTTCTTTTGAAGGTCTCACCCTGGAAGGGCATGATACGCTTCGGGAAGCGTGGAAAGCTAAATCCAAGATACATTGGACCGTTCAAGATTCTTGCTAGGATCGGTCCCGTAGCATACAAACTCCAGTTACCTCGAGAACTTAGCAACGTACATCCCGTCTTCCACGTATCGAACCGAAAGAAGTGTCTGTCCGACGAGACACTTGTGATTCCTCTCGATGAGATCGATCTAGACGAAAGTCTACGCTTCGTGGAAGAACCAGTTGAAATCATGGACCGAGAAGTCAAACGAATAAAGCAGAGTCGCATCCCGATAGTGAAGGTTCGCTGGAATGCCAAGTGGGGACCTGAATTCACTTGGGAGCGTGAGGATGCAATGAAACAGAAGTACCCTCATCTCTTTCCAGGTTCATGATTTGTATTCTATTCTTGAATTTCGGGACGAAATTCCCTCTAACGGGGGGATGATGTGACAACTCGGAACTTCTGTCTTGTACATCTAGTCAATTCAATCAATGTTAAACTCGTTTCTGTTAACTTCTAGCACTGTTTAAGGGTTCATTTAAGAGTTCTAAGCTTGAGTACAATCAAGGTTGAGATTAGTAATGAGTCAGCAAGTCATATAGTAGCAAAATCGGGCCATACACTCCTATAGGAGGAGTGTACGGACGTACACATGGGTGTACGGCCGTACACCCCCCTCATGGCCGCACACTCACCCCTATATATGGGTAGACCCCTCCTTCATTCCTTTCTTCCCTTGGCTGCACACTACACCATTCTCTCTCAAGTTCTTCAACCATGAACCCTCCAAAGCTTCAAGGACGTGAGTAATCCATCCTCTAACTTGTTATTCTTGAAAGACCACTCTACCTAAGTCTTGATCCTTCAAAATTCGTCATGTACTTCATGTTTTGAAGAGAGTACGGCCGTACACCTTCATAAGGTGGGCCGTACACTCCTAAAAGACCCTCCAAAGTGAGAGTTTGACCCCTATCTTCTAGTTGGACATGACCCAAGCCTTGTTGCACCTTAAAGTATACATTTTGGGCATAAAAAAGAAGGGTGTACGGCCGCACACCCCTATGTACGGTCGTACACACCTCATAGGGCCGTAAACCCACTTCCATGATCCTTATTGACCTCAAACTTGCACTACAACTAAGCATGGACCTAGAACACTTCATGGATGCTAGTATGAACCTTGGAAACACCTCAAAGGCACATCCCATCATGAGTGTACGACCGTACACTCATGGGCCCTACACCCATGGCCGTACACACCCTTAGGGTGGCCGTACACCTCCCTCACTCAATCCCATAAGGTTCTAACACTCAGTGCAAGTGGTTCCAAGTCCCTAGAGTGGTTCCCCATCATGTCTAGTAGTGAAATACCTTCATTTGACTCCTATATGTGTCATTACATGTTAATTAGGATCAAGTTGTGTTCGAGGCTTCACTTGACACTCAACATCTCATACCGGTCTTTCGTGCAAACCACTCACTCAAGGTGAGTTCATACCCCTACATTTTCCGAGTTTTTTAATGTTTTCAGGGGGGGGGATACAAGCCAAACATAACTGATTTTATGAAAGTTATACAAACGGATTTCAGTAAACTTAAAACGGACAAAGTTAGTACGAGCATACAGTTTCTACAGTTTTACAAAATATTTTAGATATTTTATCCCTTCTGTATTATGCTGAGCATAAGGGACGTTTTCAACGTACAAACTTAACCACATAGTTTTCAGAACAATACATGATTTACACATACAAACACACAAACTATAATAGGTATAGTTTGGGAATTCATACAAGGTTATACAAATACATACATACAAACTATTATAGGTATAGTTTGGGAATTCATACAAGGTTATACAAATACGTACACACAAACTATAATAGGCATAGTTTAGGAATTCATACCACAGTTTACAAACTCATACTTTATAAACCTTTCAGTATTTACAAAAAGGGTTTTCATCATTATTACTTGTAAATTTGTTAGTCTAGTTGGAGACACGTCCTTGGTAACACTCACAAACTTAACTGAGTGAAGGACTAGCACTTGTGATCAGAATCTCATCGAGGGAGAGTGTGACTGTTGTGTATAGATCTATACGGGACTTACTATCCCGCACCTTGCTGCTAGCTACAGTAGGACCGACAGGTCTACGGGTGACAAAGTCATAAAAGATACTGGTGCCCGATTCGCGCCATATCAAGTCAAAGTATGGTCATGACACTCACAATGTAGACAACAACGATTTACTTACGTAATAATAACACACGAACAATACTTGTTTAGTACAAGTACAGACAAATACATGGTTTCTCAAGGTAAACCAATACTACTATACGTACTGGTAGTAACCAGGGTTTTCAAACAGAACATTTCATACAACGGTTTTTCATACAATGTTCATCCTACAATACACCTAGTGGTGGTCCAATCATACAACATTCTACTAAGATTTTCTCACTTTTACTAAAGAAAATATTGGATTTTCTTGGAGTCATGCAAACATTTTCAGAGTTAACAACCGGTTTTCAATATACAAACATCGATTATGAACTCACCAGCTTTA